GTCTTCTTTTTTAACAGTCCAGACACAAGAAGTGAGTTGAAAGGTGATGCCTAGTGTATAAAGTGGATATGTGAGATATTCAGATTTCACATGCAAAATCGTTATAATAGTTAAACAGGCAGTATGCGGTCAAGCATTGCCATGCAACAACAATACTTCTGATGGGATAAATTTCTCTGAAGAAAAGACATCGGTTTTAGCCGCTCTTCAAACTTTTGGGCCATTCTGATACATGCTACCAGAATACATAAGAATCACCATACGGTGCGCTCAACCTGAAACGGATTTCACTTGATTTAACATTTTCAGTACTGGAAAAAATGCATCACAAATTGTTATTCTAGTGCGGTGCCTGTTGACAACGGGGCAGTTATAATTCACTTATGCTTCTTACTTAAGCGATGCATCATTATACTGATCTGTTGATATGTCTAATTAGCATTATACTATATATCTCTTGATTATACTTTGCGGCACAAATATAACTCCTGGCAACTTACAAATAAATCGTTTCGTAATTTTACTACTGAATATCTACTTAGACTGCTGAATATTGATTTAAAGTATCTTTTTTCAAATATAAATTCAAAACTTTGTATCATTTGCGCATGATAAAACATTAATATATCGGTCAACGACCAGTTTTTCAAGGAAAAAAAAAACAAAAACAAAACAAAAAAAAAGTTCTACTAGATTTTTCCAGATGATTGTGCTCTTAGGGTAATAATGCAGACTGATATTTAATTAAAGTTCCTTATTTCATAAATTCGATTATTATTGCATTTTATATGCGAAATTAGTAATTTTTAAAAATAAGAACAAAATATATAATAACATAATTAGTAATAGACAAAAAAAAGACTGTTTTTTAATATTTTTATGAAATTAGCATGAAAAATTCTCTTTCCTCTCAATGCTCTTAAAAAAGTTACGTTAAACGAAAGATATCTTGAATAAAAGCACATACAAAAGTGTGTGTATTAATTTGATTAATTTATTTAACGAGAGTTACAGTAAAGTGCTTAAGAAATCTACTTGCTTTCATTTGACGGCTGTCAAGTGATCTATTGACTAGAAATTACAGACAGCTTTAACAGATGTTAAAAGGCTATTTGACAGCCGACTATATGAATTATTTGGATTGCTTTTGTTCAGCGATAAATTATTTTTGGATGATATTTGCATAGTGTGAACTTAGTTTTCCATCGAATAAAACGTGAGGACATGACAACTCTCATCATTTTAAGCGTCTTAAAGTTACCGTTATATTTATACTTAAGTCTGGAATTATACATTTTTTATAATAATCTGTAGATTTCTGTTCGACTGTTTTTAGTTCTATAACATTAGTCAACACATTTAAGCTTTTTTTCTACCACATGGAAGAAAGCAATACATTTTCACTAAATTATTCTTTTCCAAATACGAAAATAACAATGAAAATACATAACGTTACAGTTAAAGATGACAGCAAAATTCGTAATCTACATACGCAACATAATACGTGACGTACAAACTGACAGTAAAATGCGTAACGTTGTTATGTAACAACTGTGAGTTAGATCCTAGCAAAAGGAATAATATATTCTAATTTTGTAGACATATAACTATAAGAGTATAGGTAAAGGGGATGAAGACAACTGCGATATTTTTCCGTTTTGTCATCTTAGCGACTATACTCATAAAATATCCAAGTCAAATTTCAAATATTTCGGATTTCTGCAACTTTGCTTTGAAATGAATGAAAAGGTTGTATAAGTTACTAAAGGAAACGGGAAGTTTATATACAACCATATTTAGTATACTTATACATCAAGTAAATCACACGTTTATTGATTTTGCAATTCTAGTTTTTTATGGCACTCTTCTTACGTTTCGGCTTTGTGAAAATTAGTTAATATTATGCTGTTGTACGTTTTTTAAACCGATAAAACCTAATAAAATGATTTACATTTAATAAAATTAAATTAAATATTTTGTTGCACGTTAGTAATATTCCACAGTTTTGCAGAATGGCTGCCACGTTAACTGAAAATACTATATAAGTGAAATTGCTGAATAATGTAACAGGTGTTTTTTCATTTTTGTAGAATGCTCACACAGTGACAGTGATATATAAAAAGCAATATATAATTCTGTAATGCTACTGAACAAAATTTCTAAAAGCATATGCAAGGAGTCTCATGAGATTTATATAATGTCGCTATGCAGGAAAACTGTGGTCATGTCAGTGTCATGATTTATACACCATGCTTCCATGCATATGAATCGTGTCTGCTTGGTTCAACCACGGCACTCTCTACTTACCACCTAGAAAATAATTGCCTGTAAAATTCACAATAAGAAAGATCTTAAACTATTCATTCTTGAAGATTCATAGGAATGGTGGGATTATAAAATGAAGTCATTTGTTATTTTGAATTTAAGTTAGGATTGATAGCTAATTGTGCCAAAGATTCTGTAGTTAGCAGAAAGTTTAGCTATTATCTGTTTAAACTTACTCCATTGCCATGCTAATTATCAGGATGGGAACACTTGAATTGTACTTTAAACAGAAAATGGTACAGAATGTAGTCATTATCTGAACTACCGTAATAAATGTAAGCGGCAACCCGTAACAATGCGTCGATATAGTTTTGTTATTCTTCTTCTTGTGTTAATCACTCCAACTTCGACACGAGAAGGCGATCCTAGGAACACCATCAATCGCATTCTATGGACGTGAATATTGAAGTATAGATAAATTATAGCGGTCCCTTTTCATCTAATCTGCGACCAGAAACTTCAGGGGGTTCCATCGGTCATGACGAGTCTGCTATCTGTAACTGTGTGAGGTCGGGGCGGCCGACGCCCTTGCACATCCGAGAGAGATACCCATCTCTATTTCCCCCAGTGCTCGCTGTGAAGGGAGCAGTCACCTAATTTGGACATGCGCCCGAAATGGGCTTTCCTTGTTCTTATCCCCGCAACCCCCGGTAGAATAATTAGAGAAACTTCGAATGAGTTGAAAATATTCTCTGCCCGATGCAAACTGTCATAGCCTACATTTTTTTCTTCTTACCAGTTCTCTAGTATTTTTTTCCGCAACTTGGGTTTAATTTTGTGTAGATTCTTTCCTCGATTCTGGCTAGTAGAATGTTATTGATTGTTCCATTCAAGACCTGCATTTGAAGTTCTGTTTGCAAGAACACTTCTAGTCTTTTTTTACTTGGTTATGTTTTTTCCCCTGGTGCCCAGAATGTTCCTGGCATTGAAAGAAAAGTTTTGTCTGTTTTTTCAAAGAAACAAACGGTTGTAATACGCTGTTAGGAAATTTCAGTTGCTTTTGGGTGATTAAAAATGAAAGTGACAATTCTTATTAATCGTATAATACTGTTCTAAGCTCTAAATTCATCAAAGTTTGTATGTAACACTTTAGAGTAAAATATGACATATCGCTTCGAAGCAGCTTCCACTACCCTCAAAAAGGCGCTTGTCTGATTTGATTGAATTCCTAGTCTCCAAAAGTTAAGCCAGCAAACGGTTTTCTTACGAACTGCTATTTATTGGATAACTTAAGACCAGTCTATCTTATGAAACGTATTTCTGCGCATATGCTAAGAAATCATACGTCGAGAAAATGAGACCATCCTAAATAATAATGGAGACAGTAGCAGCAACCATTAAATCATTCAGTCATACTTCAGAAGAGAGGCACACATATTTAGTTTTCTTTCTTACTTTTACTACTTGTTGGTAAAAGCCTTATTGTCTCGACGACTAGTGTACAAGGTGCCAAAAGTAGTGTATAAGCCAAGTTTCTTAAAAAAGGTCCTTCAAGAAGATTTTTCTCCCTTTCGACGGACAACTTTCATGCGATTTATCGTTTTCAATTAAATTTAAGTTTAACAATTTTATATAAATAAATATAGGTATTGACAATTACTCGGTATAAAAAGCTGACTACTTAACGTCATTGGAGCGTAAAAGGAGAGAATATAGCACCATTTTATTAGGTTAATATATTTGTAAATTTCTTTAACGCTTAATTAAATTTGTAGTGATAGCATATGCAATTCCAACTTTTTTTTATGATAAATTTTAAAGTAATGTTGATACCTTAGATCTGTAGAACATACTCAGGTATATGCAAAAGTTTCTTCAGATAATACAATATATATTTATTATCAACATTAAAATTTAGAACTTGCTTTTAAGATGGGTCTAAAGTTTAAACATCATGTTTTGCAGAACCTTTTCAAAATGTTCAACTCAAGAATGATAAGAATAATAGTAATAATCAAACTATTTTTCTATCGAACAATGCATTTAGTAGTAATTTCTCATTATCATTTACTTATTGCTATCATTCATTATCGTTTGATACTAAATTAAAGAATAGTACTTCGAAGGTATATGTATCATTAGCGTTTCCTATACGGTATTTCAAAGATCTCTCAAACGCCTTCCATTCTAACAGAGAATTCTTTCAGAATTTATGTAGTAAACTGATTTTGATAACATAATGGAATTACTTGGAAACATAATGAATTAATTTATACACTTTTTAGGAAATTCTTAATAACGAAGAGGAGTAGAAATTTCTTACTACCTTTTTGTTATCTGAAATTTCTCTGTGAAGGAAATCTTTTACAGTTTGAAACTCCACTTAGCTATTCCTCCCGAAAGATTTCTCTTCTACGATTTAACATTTATATTTATGCATAATACTTTATAAGATATAACATATTACTTATTGACTCAATTTTTACTTCTTCTCGTTTTTGATTTGCCTCAGTAGACATAAACATAATCATTGGACTTTTTATTTACTTTCTGGTTAAGAGATGCAAAATGGCGTAAGAATGCAGCATACAAAAGAGATGTAAAGTTCAGTTTTTGTTTAATTATATAACAAATTTATTTATTGATTAAATTTGTTTATTGATTTGCAAACTTAGTTTTTGATCGCAGCTGTCGTTATTAATATTGATTCTCCCGACCTCTCTTATCTTCTCCAGGATGTAGCTCTCCACTGGGTCTAATGACAGGTGCAGTTCAAGATTGGCAGATCAGTGTCAGTTCATCGTCCGACCACCGGAAAGATCCCGGATGCCATATGCGCTACGCCCGGATATACCAACCTCCGGGCAGAGCCTGGTGTGCGGGACGAAAGGCCGCCATGGAATGGATTCAAGTCGATCTCGGAGTTTCAGCCATCGTAGGTGCAGTCAAAGTTTAGGGAAGATCTCTATAATGGCCTTCCCATTTATTAATGTGAGATAAGAAACTATAAATGTATACAAAATTAAGAATTGGCCGTTTTAAAAATTACAACCAAGCGGGAGTTTATTAAAGTGAATGATAACAAAATATACTAATTCCTTAAATTCCACCTAAAAGTGTAAAAAGCGTCTTTACCTGGTATCTTATGGGTTATTCAAGTCCATCAAAGAAATCCAAATCACCTTTTTTACAAGATGAAATATTTGCTCATTGGTGAATAGGATAAGTAAACGAGAAAAAAATCGAAATTGAACTTTATTTTATTTATTTTGCGTGCATGCTTAATTCTGATATATTTGAAATGCAGTCAAATATTTATTCGTATATCTATTTATATGCTCGTCTAAACTTGTATGACATACGAAAAAATTGTAAATTTAATGATTCTAAATTCTATGAGTCGAAAATTTTCATAACACATGACCTGAGGTAATTGCATGATCACTTTATTTTTGCATTTTAAACAAGAATAATTTCCATGTCAGACACTGAATAAAGTTCTTCAGATAAAATATTTAAAAACAGAAAAAGATACAGATTGTGAACTTTGCAGGTACTCCAAATTTTATAACCAACTCAACTCAATGACAAGATTAACCTATATTGGTGTAGGGAGCATCAGAGCTGAAGTTAAAAAGGTGAACTTGTGTTCGCTTCAGTGACCAATTGAGGTTTAATTTAACATATGATCCTAAGTACGTTTACTGTTAGAAACAGTTGTAGGAACACGAAATTTGATCACCAACATTAACACCATCGTCATCATTAAGAAATATTACTGTTACGATAGAGCAGTTACGATGGCTTGAGAAAAGAATAATAGCAAATGAAGACACGTATTCCTCAGAGAAGCTGTGCCTTCCCAAAGATGTCAAGATAAAATCATAACATTTCAGCTTAAAGGCTTTAGGAGTCTGCATGTTAATTTAGCATTTTAGGAATCATAGTATGCGTCTGCATCAAGCAGACTTGTTTAATGAATTTTTGAAACGGAAGGCATTGAGCGAGTAAATTAGCCAGCCTTATCTCCTGATTTGAATCTTAAATAAAACTTGAGGGGCATCATTTAGAGAAACTTCTCGGGAAAATGTTTTTAATAAAGATTAGTCTTTGAATACTATACTGGTGAAGGAGTAACTTATTATAACAAGTTTTCCGACCGAATTCTCCGACTCACCTTGTAAAATGAGTGTAAAAATTAGGGAAGATCGTAAAATGAGTGTAAAAATTAGGGATTACGATTACTATAGGACTACTATAGTCCTCTTTTCTCCGGATATAGCCTGTATATTTTTTAAACCCTTAAATATACAAAAAATCTTCTGTTCCGTTACATTATTTTTAAATAAAATTATGTAATAAAATAAGCAAAATTGAAATATATTAATATTCCAACTAAAAATCTTCCGGAAGCAAAAGCACTGAAAACTGGCAAGGGCAGAACAGTAATTTTTGGAATTCTGTGACCTACCTGAACTTGGTTGATTTCATATTCATAAGATCGCTACTTATTTTGAAACATTATTTTGCTATTTAATTAAATAATATTTTTAAAACTTAGTATCTTATTCCTGTAATTGTATTTTGATTTAAATGAAATGGAGGCTTGATAAAAGAAACAAGAGTTTACATCATGACTACAGACGTTGAATGTATGATAGATTTATTCCTAACCCTGTGAAACATTGTAAAAATTCAAAATAAATAAATTATGCAAATGTAAAAGGATTTTTATGACACAGAAATAGATGCAAATTTACTAAAATATTTTACATTTTTCGCCAACGCTCAAAGGGTCCGCGTTGCTGATACAGCAGATATTGATGATTAGTTTCGTCTGTAGCTAACATATCATGGTTGGCTAAAAGCACAACATTAGTTGCAAATATTATTTCTGTAAAATCAAAGATCTATATGATCTTTAATTTTACAGAAAATTTTGATTGAGATACTATTGTAAACGTTTTGTGTGATAGTGAACTGGAAAAATGTCTTGCTGAAAAAGATTATCATTACTACTGTATTCAACTGTGTCATCAATTCACCCAACCAAATTTTTCCAATACACCCAACCAAATTTTCCCGTAATGCATAGGTGTCTACCGCATCATCAAATGGAACATACTAAACATTTGTAAAATATATAAAAAACTTTATGAGTTTACTTCTATTTCAATATGATAAAATTTAGTGCTGGTTGCTTAGTTTATTTGTTATGAATTGCAAAACTATTTCATGATATTAGTACCATTATACAGTAGATATATGGAATCCTGTGTTTGACAGCCGTAATTGCTGTTAAGTGTTATTTTTTACTTTTATTTCGAAATGAAATGTCATAACCAAGTAAGCCATGTAAAAAGAAATGTGTAAAATTCAGTGAAGAATCAAATAGGAAATTTTAGGGCTTAAAATTAAACCAGAATAACTAGAATCTATTGAATTGCGTAAAGCTGATTTTTTTCTCTGTGGTGGGAAGAAATATTGTACTGTTTTTGATTTAAAAGTGTATTAACTGAGAAGAGAAAAAATGCAAGAAGACTACTAAAAACTAATAAATTTCATTGTATGAGCGCCTGTAAATCTGAAGGAAAGGAAAATGACGGCATCTAAAAATGCTTTAATATATATAGTCTTTAGTGTCTTGTTTTCTAATCATCAGAACATAGAACCTTACCTTAAAGACAGCAATTTGCTTTGTTTTTTTTAAATATTTGTTTTTACTTCACAATTGTTGTTGTTACATATTATTTCAGTTGATGTACTATTTCATAGCATAATTTTAAGTCATACGCATTTATAAACGAATTTCGATTTATGTTTCTGTGTTACAGTACTATATGTACAGCTTCAAATAAATTCATGGAAATTTATCAGATAGATTATGAAATATAAGCATTGTTGTGTTTATAAATATAATTTTGGACATTGTTGTTTTTTTACCAATGGTGGATCCTCAACCGACTTCGGCTTGGCCATTAAGGCCAGAAGGGGTGGTTGTGGGCGGCGTGAACAACGGTGTAATGAATTTTGGGTACTTATTTAAATTAAAACGCAAAATTAAGATAACTTCATAAAAAATTAATCACTCTTTTTCACTTCATTAAGGTAACGGGAATGATGACACAAGGACGAGGTGACGGACATCAATGGGTGACATCGTACTTCTTGTCATACAGCTTGGATGCTTATCATTGGAAATATTGCTCTGATATGTACAGCAATCGGAAGGTAAATTTCAATATTTCCTTTGGAAAAAGCGTAATCACAGAGATTAAAGAGACTTGTGAAGATTTGTTTTTAAAAGTGATATTTTTAAACGAGTTATGTAACATATTGTTATGAAGTATAGCCAGTAGGACTTCATAAAAACGTCCTGTAAATTGATTTTTGTAAAATCGATTTAATATTAGAATAGAAAGGTTACTCTAAAGAGCTCTGATGGGGAGAAATTGAGATAAATTGCTCGATAACTTAACAAAACGCTAAATGACGACGGCTAATCCAACAGAGAAAAATATAAAAAATACATGAATAATCGTCACGAACTCAAATGTGGTAGAATGGTAATATATGGCTTGATAACAAAATTCAGATTGCATGAAATGCGGCTTAACGATTAAAATTAGAATGTTTACTTTTAATCTGAATGCTAGCCAAGTGGAGATAGCTGTATTAATCGACTCTAATATAAGCATTTACAGGAGCTGTATTTTCTTAGTTTCTAATCTCTGTTATTGAATAAGGAAGAATATGTATGTGATTTCATTACATTGTGAAAAAGTCTGATGCGGACACGCCATGACTTCCTTGTACGGAATTTTAAATTATACGCATTTTTTTTTTTTTTTTTTTTTTTTTTTTTTTTTTCTGAAATTCATTTAACTTTTCCCAAATTTCTTAGAGTCTCATTCCCTTAATTCAGTTCACTTTGTGGCAAGCCAAAATACAAAACTCAAAATCTTATTAAAATGAAAGATATTAAAAGCATAAAACACCAAATTCAGTTAAAATAATTTTTAAAAAATTTACAATTAAAATTAGAGTTTCTACGCTAAAACAAGCAATTCGGCCATCAGGCAAGAAGACAGATTTTTCGGTGCACAAAACTATACTGGTTATCATAAATTAAGGAAAAATCACAAAAATCCCGATTACTGAAAAAGTTACATGTAGAATTAAAGGAAACTTACCCACAACAAGACATAATAAGGTATCAAATAACATAAAAAAAAATTACCAGACAAAGATGGTAGTGTAGAAATTAGCACATGTATAATATAAATAAATCGAAGGTGTCAGTTTGCTGTAGGAAAAGTACCTTCAATATGGAATATGATCGCCTCTAGAAGCAATACAGCGATGTGTGATGCTTTCAATTATGCGGTCTGTCAGTTCCATAGGAAGCGAGAGCCATTGTTTTTGCAAAGCAGTTGCAAGCGCGACAAGGGTTTGAGGAGGCGGATTGAGAGCAGCTAGACGTCTCCCTAAAGCATCCCAAACGTGCTCGATGGAATTCAAGTCCGGGGATCGAGTTGGCCAGTCCATGCGCATAATTGTTTCCTGTTGAAGATAATCATCTACGATGCGAGCCCTGTATGGTCTTGCGTTGTCGTCCTGTAACAGGAAAGCATCACCTATTGCCCCGGAATATGGGCGCACATAAACATCAAGGATGTCATCTCTATAAATCTGAGCATTCACGGTTCCCCTTGGAAAGACATGGAGGTCTGTGCGTCCACCCAAAGAGATGCCACCCCAAACACAGACACTGCCTCTTCCGTATGCATTTCTTTCACGGATGTTTGACGGATGATAACGGGTTCTAGGTTCTCTCCATATCAAATAACGCCTACTATCGCTTTCTAGACTAAACCTGGACTCATCCGTAAAGAGAACCGCCCTCCATTGATCAGGCGTCCAGCGGACATGTTGTCGTGCCCACTGAAAACGGTCGCTCCTATGGCGTGACGTGAGCGGCACACAAATGGCTGGTTGCCTCGCATATAGACCACCTTCGCGAAACCTTCTACGCACAGTTGACGTTGACCACGAACCTTCTGGTGGCTGCAGCAAGGGAGGATATAAGAAGAGTCGGAGTAGCGGTTCTATTCCTGCGTGCACATAATGTCAAATATCGGTGAACGGCGCTCGTCGTAGCAGTTGGCCGTCCTTGGCTGAACCTCCTTAGATGCCGAATCTGTGGTTTGAAATTGCCTCAGTCTATGAACCACAGAAGGACTCACATTTAGCCATCTGGTCACTTCTGTTTGACTTTGTCCTGCCTCTGTTCTCCCAATGGCTCTCCATCGCAGTTCTGCAGGCAAATGATGCCTGGAGGTCATTGTTACGAATTGGCTATCTCAGATTTCTGATGTCACTGTCACAGTGAAATATGTGGGCTTGCTCTCAAAATTGGACTTTTATGCTCCTCGCAAATGACCTATTCCGAAAGCAGCGCCACTAATTTACATATCGCAGTTTTACTCAGCTACTCTTATTTGACAACATATTCAAATTTTACACGGTTTGGCTTATTTTTGAGGGAGTTATCGCTATTTTTGTGATATTTCCTTAATTTATGTTAACCAGTGTAAACGTTTCCTTTTGATCTCGTTGGGCAAAAAGACACAAACAGATATTTATCCATAATGAAAACCGATATATTTCTATGATTCAATCATAATGAAATATGATAAATAATCTATGTACATTGCCTTTTAAAAAGAAATGACGTAAGCTGTTAAGCAAATGTAATGCGACGCGATGTTGACAGAGCAGCAGTTAGGGAAGGGAAGAATGACGTAATTAATTCTCCAGCGGTATTTATATTAAGTCTGATGTAATTGTAGAGACAGGTTAAAATTGGTTAATTAAGGGTTGTTACATAGTCATGGAAGGAGGTCGAATTTGGGAGAACAGCTGAATTTAGGAGAAGAGCATCAAATGTAGAATCATTAATTTTGAGGTCACCAATTATTTTTAAAGCAGCTATCGTATTTTGTTATATCTTACACACACGCACACACACACATATATATATATATATAGGTGTGTGTTATGCGATAGACGGGTGTATATAGATATATATGGTGGTAGGGTATATGGGTGGGTGGGTGGGTATATATATATATATATATATATATATAAAGCTGAGTGGGTAGCAGAGTGGGTATATATATATATATATATACCCATCTGCTACTCTGCTGAGTGAGCTCAGTTCTTTGTTTCTTATATACTGGCAAATTGTGCACTTTTTGCTTTTTTTCAATCATTAAAAATGATTGAATTATGTTGTTCTTATCTTCCGGATAAGGTTTTTATGCCTTTAATTAATCTGTATGCGATAGTTGTATAATTATTAACAAGTTAAAAGTTGCTTAAGTGCTGCAAATCCTAATCTTTTTACAATAGCAGCCACATTTTTTTTATATTTGAAACTTAGCAGAATAGTGGATTTGTTGCCAGTCTAGAGAAACTAAGCTGCTCAACAACAAAGTTAACGTTTTCTTTTATTATTGCGAATTAAATCATGCTTAATCCTTTCTGGAATTATCATTTAAGTTATTAAATTATCGCATTTATTGAGCGAACACAGCGTTCACAACAAAATTAAGTCAGTTTTTACGCCTCCAGTGTCTTTTTGCCTAGTGGAACCAAAAGGAAACTTTTAGTTTTGTGCACTGAAAAATCTGCTTTTTTGTCTGCTGGCAAAATTGCCTGTTTTTTCGCAGAAAATCTAATTTTAATTGAAAATTTTTTTTAGTTGTTTTAACTGTATTTGGTGTTATGTTTTTCTACATTTTAAAATTTTAATGAAGATGTTTTTAGATTTTATGTATTTTTGCCTTTCGGGAAGTAAGAACTGAATTAATTGTATGAGAAATAAATATTTAACGAAATTCAAGGAAATAAGTGTTTCGTATTAGCACCAAATATTGTCGCTAGTCTGACTCGAAGAGAGGAGAACGTTTACGAGTAACGCTTGAGCATTAGGTAAGAGGTGTTATGTGAGAAATTATTTCTTTTTTATTTGTATAATTTCTTTTATACATCGTTTTAGATTTATTATAGTATTTGAATAAAGCATAGGGCAACGCTTAGCTAATTCTTCAAATGATATAATTTTTGTGTATTCTGAGTTATAAAATAAATGACATTTAACGCTGTTAAGTGAACCTAACGCCAGAGAGTCGCTATGGTAAATAAATATATCGAATTTTAAAGAGTGCATTTATACTATTGTGTTTATGCGCTATCGACGAAGTAGAATGCAATAAGTTTAAATGAAATGCGAGAAAAATGCGTATAATGTAATATTCCGTACAAATAAGTCATGTGGTGTACACATCAGATTTTTTATTTAAATCAATAACATTAAAAGTAAAAAAAAAGTTCTTGTAAACAATATCGGAAATACGGAATATTAAATTATACGCATTTTTTCTTGCTTTCATTTAAACTTATTGGATTGAATTAAATCTACATCGCCGACAGCGCATAAACGACAATAGAATAAAGGCATTCTTTAAAATTCACTCTAGTATTTGTTTACCACAGCGACACTCTGGCGCTAGATTCACTTAACAGTATTATATTTCGTTCATATTATAACTCATAATGCACAAAATTTATATCATTTAAAAAATAGAATTATCTAATCGTTGCCACATGTTCTATTCAAATACTATAATAAAGCTAGAAAGATGTATAAAAGAAATTAAGCAAACAAAACAAAAAAGAAACAGTTTTTCACAGACGATTGAGTATTTCTCATTCAATTAATTCAGTTCTCACTTCGCGAGAAGACAAAAATACATAAAATCTCAAAATATCTGTATTAAAAATTATGAAGTAAATCTTAAACACTGATTTCCTCGAAAAAATACTAGAAAGGATTAAGCATGATTTAATTGGCAATAATAAATGAAGGCGTTATCTTTGTTGTTGCGAATCTAAGTTTCTCTAGACTGGCAACAAATCCACTAGTCTGCTGTTTCAAATGTAAACATCAATGGCCGCCATAAAAAAAAGGCTTAGCGGCACTTGAACAACATTAAAATTGTTGATAATTCTAAAAATATTGCATACAGATTTACTAAAGGCATAAAAACCTTAACCGAAAGATAAAAACAACATAATTCAATCATTTTAAAGCAAAAAATCTACAATTTACAAATATATAAGAGTAAAGAAACTGAGATCATTGAGCCGGGTAACAGAGTGGATATATATATAAATATATTTATATACGTTTGGTGCGGCCGATTGCAACCAAAATACGAGGTGCACATCTACATGTTATAGCAGTCCTATATACAAAATTTCAACGTTCTGAGGCTACTGGTTTTTGAGTTATGCGAGATACGTAGGTACATACGTACGTACATTCGTACAGACGCCACGAAAAATTCTCTTCAGTATTAATTTTAAAGCAGTTTTATAATTTTTTTGGAGGAAACGAGTCTTTTATTCTGTTCTTACGTACAGATATCACGCAAAAACATCGTTAAATTGCATTCGATAGCGGTCAAAATGAATATTTTCGTTGAAATATGCTGCCTGAAACTTTTCGCGATTGCAATACTTCCTTTTTACTTTGTACAAGGAAGTAAATATAGCATTGCTTCCAAAATAACCTAATGGTTTCGTTGCACGAATTTTGAAACCAGAATAATGCTGGAAATGAATGTTTACGTCTTTCTTGTTATATGATAACATAAAAACCTCTAACATTTTCTACTGGCCAGTATTCAATTTAATATATTGTTTTTAATCTCTCTTAATAGTATTCTTTTTTATTTATTAAATAAGTATTGTTAAAAAAGGATTTTAAAGTATGTCATTTTATTTCTTTCTTTATTTAATGAAACAACTTGCAGAATCTCACTCTTTTAGACAGCATACACCAAATCAAACCTCTAATAGACTTGAGAGAATTATCGGTATGTATAATTAATCACGCAGAAGCGTAAGAAGGGTGAAAAAGAGCTTTTTAATAAAAGCTGAATATAGTTGAACAGAAAACACTTCTTGTGTTTACAAACCAACCAGAATTTATGACGTAACTAAAATGTAATAAATTCAGATTCAGATTTAAAGTCGTTAAGCTAGCCAAAGGCTACATAGAAATAGTTAATGCGCAAGTTGTGTCAAACCTACATCTGCGTGGCAGGCACTCTCGGCAAGAATAAAGCAATGCCAAAGACATAATGCTGTCGTAGAAATTTAACTTAGCAACGTGGACTTCAGCAGGCGAAACACGCTCTGTCTAAGCAATCTAAAATGTCTCTTTAAATACTATCTCTTTCTTTTTAAATACGCGCGAGCTACAATTTGCATTCTGACAAGAAAACGGACAGTAAACATACGTAACATAATATAATGGTAAATTAAAATAAATAAATACTTTACAAACTATCAAAGGAATTTACTAATAGTTAAAGCAAACAAGAAAAACGTTTTTCATGTGGGGGGGAAACCTGAAGAAAAGACACACATTTCTCATGTTTAGAATAAGTTTACCACAGCAAAAATGAGCTGATAAGGAAAGTAAGTTTTCTTGCTGCAAATATCAAGTTGCACATATATCTTTCTAAAGAAAATTGTTTGGATCGGGTTATTCTGTAACGGAAGAGATTCGAATATTAAATAAATTTCATCGCCTTTGTTTGGGCACCCACTAGTTTCAGGCTTTTTTAATTTCTTTAATTTGGAATAGTGATTATTTGGGAGAACTGATGTTATAAATTAGATCAGTTATTTTAATTATTTGTGTATACAAGGTTTTCTTTCTTTAATTTAGAGTTCGTACTCATTTTCTTCAGGTCTACACTTTTTTAAACTCTTTTAATTTAAGTGAAAATCAAATAATAGTGTTTTAATTGTATAACATTTGAGTTTTGTAGGTTACATATTGCTATGTTTTTAATTTTATTTCAGAATTAATAACATTTTTAACATAACATCTTATTTTGTTACATCTTATTACATCTTATTACATCTTATTTTGTTGAGGGAGTGAGAAATCCGAATGCTAAAAATATTTTAAATATATCAAGTATGTTTGAAAATATATAGTTTAGCAAAACAAAATGAACTAAGTATTTCAACTTTCACATTTTTTCAGACCAAAATGAACTAAATATTTCAACTTTCACATTTTTCAGACTTTCAAGGGTAATATCGACTCTCATTCCACCCAAACAACTTACCTGGACCAGAATGTAACTGCGCGTTTTCTCCGTCTTCACATTTTGCAATGGCATCAACACCCGAGCATGCGCATCGAGGTTTTAGGATGTCAAGGTAAGAATATAAACCAAAGAATTCCAGTATTCATTTAAGCTATTGCTATAATCAACCACTGATGCGTTCCATTGATCCAACGTATATATGAGTAAAAAGGGTAATAAGTACCAGTTAAGAAACAACTTGATTTCAGACTTTTTTAGTAAACATTAGAACATTTAATAGTTTTAGCATTTGCAAAAGAACTTACCTACACCATAAATTTAGAAAAATATATCTAGAGTAATATTTCAATAAAAGGTGAAATTTTTTTCGTTCAAATGGTTTCTACTAAACCACCCTGAAACAGAACAGCCATAATCTTAATTACCCAAACAGATGGCTAATGGCTTTCATTCTAAGTAGAACCAATGAGAAGAAATTTTAAATAGGAGAAAATAAAGGCGAGCAGAAGAAGCGTTAAAAAATGTAATACTGAATACTGGATAGTTTTCCAATTTAAAAAAAAAGGGAAAAAATAAAGAAAATAAATAAGAAAAAATTTCAGCACAAAAATCTGAACTCATTAGCAAAGTTTTTATTACATCAGTTCTGTAAAATTTGTTTATATCGGTTTATCAATAAATGTTTCTATTGATTTATCTCGGGTATATCTTAGATAGGTTTCGTGTATCTGAAGTACATTCAGAAAGTCACAAATATGTTTTTATGCAGAATAAATCTGATAATCTGATAAATAACTCGCAAATTTATCCATACAATGTATTTTTAATTTCTGATATATTTCCTTCATATTAGCCCACTTCATAAAAGCCACTTATCATAAAAGTAAAAGAAATTATTATAATTTTGTCTTATTAAATAAAGGAATTTTTAAAAAACGTGTGAAATGTTATAGGGATTCCTAAAACCTTTTTTACTGTTTTAATACTAATTCTTTTGGATTATGCTTAGTGCTTAGTTTGCATTATCAGTATAGTATTACATATTTTATTTCAGATTGTAATTCCATAATCAGTGTTCCACCACAGGCCCAGCTCTCTGCATCTTCATCGAGACCGTGGAGCAAACAAGGTACCTGTACGCCAGAAGATGGCCATATCTACAGTCATGGAGGATGGTGCGCTAAGCACAGTGATAGTAAGACACATTTCTGACATTCATCAGCTTCTGTTTAGAAATCTTACTTTGTTTACTTTTCTGTCAGCCGGAAAACTATAAAGAATTAATTCATATTGTTCTTTGCTTTTAAATGATACTCATTTCTGGTTTCTCGTCTTCTAGCTCGGCAATGGCTCCAAATAGATTTAGGACCACCTACAAGAGTAACTGGAATTGTCACCAAAGGACGAGGAGATAGTCGACGAAAACAATGGGTGACATCTTTCGCATTGTCATATGCTAATAGTACTAATCACTGGCACTATTACAAAGATGACAATCTGGTCAGTCCAAAGGTAAGTTAAGCGAGCAGTATAGTGTATCAGTCTCAAACTTTTCTATATATAATTTCGAAAGCATCCACACTAAACATTCTTCCAAATTATCCACCTCTTTAACGAAATAGTTACCGAATTATAGTTATTAACTATACATATTCAAACTTAACCACCTTTACAATGCCTTTTTTTCGTTTCAGGAATTCGGAGGAAACATGGACAAGAATACTGAAAGAAGACATTATTTCAATCAACCGTTTACCGCAAGGTACGTCAAAGTACATCCGTTGGCGTGGAGAGGGAAGGTCAGCATGAGGCTTGGTCTGATTGGTTGCCAACTGAAAGGTATCCTTTTGTACACAATATGATTATTTTTCCTTCGCTAGCTAGGCCCACCAGCGGCCGAGCGGTAACGTCGCTGAACACTGGTAGTTCGGTCCGAGGTTCGAATTCCGCGAACGGGCTGGCTGCATGGGCGTTTTCGTGGTTTTCCCCCTGTGTAACGTGTATACGAGCCAGTTTCTCTTGGAAAGTCCTCCATGAAGGCATCTCTCCCTTAAGGCAGTAGCTCTCGAGTGCTGATAAAACCAAACCTTCATCGGCTAGAGGATTATTCATTTAAACTTTATTATTGTTATTTATCTGTATATGTGTTTGAAGTTTCAGCTATTCCAACGACTTTTCATGTACGAAAGGCTGAAAAGATTTATTTTAGCATATTAATTTTAAAGGAATAAAGTAACTGGGAATAATTGATCATGTAATACATCATGAATATCACTGTAGACTTAATGTAATTTCTCCAATTTCGAAATCGTAAGGAAACTAAACTATGTTTTATTATACTGTTAATTTTATGAGAAAGATCCTTCAATAAAAAACAGTTCTTTTCTGTAAAATGTTAACAATTAGCCGGGTCGGTATAGTGTTAGTGTAGCTGGCTGCCGTATCGTTGGGCTCAAGTTCGAATCCCTGAGAGGACTTACATGTATAGTGTCTTTGCAGCGTGGCAGCACCTAAGGTTGTAGAGACATTAGGTATTTTTTAGAAGCAGGAAAGATGAAAAATTAGCAACGCCTTCGCCGAGAATCTAACCGCGAACCTCTCAGTTACGCGCTGAGCCTGCAACCACTACACGAAGGCTTGCTAAGAAGGCGACAGAAGCAACTTATAAGGTAAAGCCCTCAGCCTAAATTCCTCTCGAGTAGTTTGTTGATAGTAAATGAGAGGTGTAAAAGGCTTGGACCTGTTCCGCAGGGTACAAGGCTTTCGTGTAGTTTCCCGCAAGGTATTTACTCTCAAAATTGTGAAAGAAATAAGCAAAGTTATACTTTAAAATATTTTCATCTGTCAGCTGCTCAAGGCCCATGACTACGACAGACGCAATCCTGTTGTTCTCGCAAAGATAAAATTTGTAGACGTGTTCCGATATTACTCCCTCAGCCTAAATTCCTCTCGAGTAGTTTGTTGATAGTAAATGAGAGGTGTAAAAGGCTTGGACCTGTTCCGCAGGGTACAAGGCTTTCGTGTAGTTTCCCGCAAGGTACTCTCAAAATTGGGAAAGAAATAAGCAAAGTTATACTTTAAAATATTTTCATCTGTCAGCTGCTCAAGGCCCATGACTACGACAGACGCAATCCTGTTGTTCTCGCAAAGATAAAATTTGTAGACGTGTTCCGATATTACTGTCGTAAAAGGGAGATTAGTCACAACACATTGTTATCAGACGAATAATATTTTTAGAATTATCCAAAATTCTTTCTTCAGCCCTTCGTTATCCCACAGAAATTTTGAATCAACGTACTATTTCAAGTAACTTTGTTCTAAGAAATTAGGGCTCACTCATTTCTTTCTTTTGTTAGAGAAAAGGCTGGAGATTTTTTAAAATTTATAGCTTATCGGCAATCTATATTTCGCTAATAGCTTCATTTTGGAGCTATCCCCTGAGCAGATAATTTTAGTAATCTCATAATAGTGTGGAAATTTACTTGTTTAGTGTGGAAAACATATTTAGCAATTAATCGCCCACAATGTTGTAAACAGCTTACGCACTTCAAATAGGTTCTTTAATTACGAAAGGGACTTGAAATATATTTTAAGATATTTTAACAAAATAAAGATGAATTGTTATTTGTAATAGATTTTTATTCTAAAAGCTCTCCTCTTTAAAGTAACATGAACTGAAATCTAGCGAGTTGGGTTTAAATATAAGTTCTTCATTTAGAAAAATGCGTTAGTTTTCATTACAGTTTCTTTATATTATTATTTTTTTATGTGACATGTTTTAAATACTAACTTAACTACTGACTTATTCTTTCAAAATTTTTATACTTTCAATAAAACTACAAGATTGGTATGTTAAGTGTTCTAGAGTTATGTTTTAAAGAATTTTGGAAGCAAACTATTCCAATGAGAAGAATTCATTATCGAAATAATGTCAAAATGCAACAATAAGCATTAGAATTTATTGCTAATTTCTTATTTGTGATATTGCTGTGTTTTATATATTATTATTATAAAATAAATTTCTTTGATTCTCACTAAACAGATGCTGTTGGACAAACTCTATTATTCAAAATATTTCCTTTTGATTTAAACTGTGTATCTGAATATACAGGATTTATGATATTACTTATATTTCTTATGTTGAATGAATTTAAGCATTTCATTTAGAACTTGTTTAATACAGAAAGTAAACCAATGAATACAAACATAAAATATTTCATAAAGTTAATGATCAGTTAAGTAATTTTGCTTCTTCATGGTATTCAAATGTTTTCTTAATTAAATTTAAAAAATAATTTCTTAGAAAGTAGAATGATGAAACTTAATTGGTCTATTAGTTTAATTATGGCAAAACACATGGAGCCATTTCCTAAGGAAGGTGATATCTCCATGGATGATTTCATGAGGGAAAGTGGCTCGTAGGCAAGACATGTTATACGTGGGCAAAACACGAGAAAATGCAATCTAATAAGCCGAGATTTGAGCCAGATTAAACTGCCCGTATCCAACTGATTTAAACCACACGGCCACTAAGAAGCAGTTAAGAGTTGGTTAGAAATTAATTTATGTGACTTTTTTTTAATCATGAATGCAGATTTGAAAATGGAAAGTGTTTAATTATAACTTGAAGATATTTAAAATAAAAACAGGCCTTGTCTTGCGGTCTATCATCTTACTCTGCGTTATGTATAATTTCAAAATGTAATAATTTGTTATAACTTTGCAATAATAACATATTCTTTATCTTTAGGAGAGTGCGGTCAAGGGTTTTTTCGAGTACACACCGATTCTGAATGTGGTAAGTTAAATAAGCATGGTAAATTTGATTTTTTATTAGTCCAGGACGTAAGAAAAAACGTGATTTTCATTTTTAAGTACTCGAAGCAAACATTTTTATGCAGTAAGAACTCTGATCGTTAATAAATAAAAAAATGTTGATAAAATGGCTTCAGATATAAAGCGCAAAGAAAATTAATAGATCTTTTCGGCACTTTTTCGTTAAAGGCATACTACTTGGCGCTTTTTCTTCCATAGACGCTACGTGCCACAGTTTAGTTTTGACTTCTTTCTTAATTACACTTACCTTTATAACCATCACCCGCGCAATCGTTTTCTTAGCTGCATTGGATTTACTAAAAAGAATGGTAACCACTTCATGAAATTAAAATATGACTGGGAGCCGAAATGACTATGCAGCTTTCGTTAACGCTGGATAGAAAAGACGTTTGGAACAAAAAATCGCCTTTTCGGATCATTCTTTTCTTTCGTTACTGCTATACTGTTACTGCATTTGCTTAACATGTTAGTAATTAGCATCTACTGAATTTTGCGAATCAAAACTTGGTTCAAATAAATCACGAAGCAGCAAATGATCGGAATAAATACATCCGACAGGAAACATTAAAATCAATTGGCAAATAAAACTGTGGAAATTCTTAAAAATTTAATTACATATGGAGAAACCTCCGCGTTTTATACCCCACAAAGGGTTTCTGAAAAATTTTGTTGTGAAATTAGGAATATTTCTTTGTTTCTATTTCAGATCGTCTAGTTTTATTTAATATCCCACCAAAAATGTGGGGCATGAAATAAACCAAAATGTGACTACGTGGAGTCAAAAATGAATCGTTTGGTTTTAAATAAAAAGTATCAACCTACTTAATTTATTTTGGATTTAAAGAGAAAGATCCATTACTATAATGCTGAAGATTTAGAGAAGACTTTTAAACTCGAAGGATATGAAATTCATTGAGACTAAATTGCAAAGGCTTTTTTTATTGAAATTATGTTAAATAAAAGAATCATTTATCTTACACATTTTACACATCACTGTAATTTCATATATGCTACAACGCATGAAATCTGAAATATTAATTGTGTTGGTGTTGTAATTGACACAGAAAATTTCATTGAGCAAAACGAAATGTGGTTAATTTGAGAAAATGAAACCATCGAAGGAAAAAATAGAGTGTGAATAATTGGCCAGCATCACTGGCTCCTCAAAGAACCGTGGCTGTGGGGCATCCCAGAACACGTTGTCAGTAAAAGTTTGTTGAGCTGATAAAGAAATTAATAAAAAATAAATTTATTTATTATTAGCACAATATTTTTTACATTTCCATAGTCTGTTGTTTGAAACATGACGCTTAGTCAGTTATGTTCTACATAACAACTTCAAGACATGCAGCGATTGTGTTGCGGTTAAGATTAGTTCAGATCAGAAGTCTTTAATGATGATTAGGTAATGACTAATTACGCTAGGAAAACGTAAAGTATTTCTTTATAATTCATACATTTGTTTATTTTATCAGCCTTTAATTTTTTCCTTTTTTCTAGTGGAGAATCTAGCTTACAAGAAAGATACTTGGGTGAATGACAAGAGACATTCTTGGATGGGATGGAAGGATGGACATTCATCCTATGCTGTGGATGGTGATGAGGACACTCACCTTCGACGCTGTGCCATCCTGGATAACTACTACGTTGATTATCCTGTTTGGATGGTAGACTTAGGACATAAGAAGCAAGTCAGGGGTGTGGTCATCATTACCTGGCAAGGCAGAGGTGAAGGTACACTTGCAGTCTCTGCGTCCCAGTCTAGGATCGATGGCCCCCATTCATCACAAATGCCCCAGTCTAGTATAAAAGCTAGTCATCATTCATTATTAATATAAAGAAGAAACCAAAAAACTACCTCATTGTTTTGATCACTTTGTAGAAAATAATAGATTGAATAATCACAGATTATTTTTTTCACAGTCTATAACTCCTCTCTCGCAATGCTGCAGTTAATGACTAGACAATTTTCGACAGCTTGCAGAGAATAGTTATTTCTTATAACGTTGAATCTAATTAAATTTATTTGAAGGCTTTGTGTAAAAATCGATGCAGCCTTTAACAGTATGAAGATATTTTGTTTTTCATATGTTATCACAACGAAAAAGATACACTGTAAATTGAGAGGATAGGATAATTACAAAACGATGTGTTATTTGTAAATAAAGATGTATCTTTACGTATTGCAGCTATGTGAATGGTATTATGATCAAATAACATCATAGACTTTGGAGCTTTTGTTGCCAATGCAAATGAAACTTCAGTTTTTGCTTTTAAGGAGATTTCATTTTACAGAGTTAGCAATAGGAATTTGACGTTTTTGAAACTAAGATCAATCTCATATTATAAATTCCAATATTGTTTATTTTATGACATAATAGAATATACAAAGTTATTTATTACTCAAGAGTTACTCGTGTCTTCAGCTTCTATTTTTTAGTAATACATTTTTCGAATGTTTTCCGCAAAATCTAACGTTTCCTTTCGATTGTATGAGTTGGGAATACTGTATACCTCAAGAGGCTATGGTTTCTAGAGGATGCATGCTTTGCAACTACAGAATCCATGCTGTGCAACATTATAAACTATCAGAGAATCTAAGTTTTTTTTAAATCATGCAATATCTAAAGTAGGAGGATTTGTCTGGGAGGCAAGTTCTCCAAACACATCAGTTTACGACTATTTCTCTGTGTTCTGTGTCTGTTGAAGTCTCAAGTAGGCATTAAAAACTTTGGAACATTAAAGAATCCAAGGTAGGAGCTACCTGTAGCTGTTACAATCAGCTTGATCCAAAGAGCGATGAAAGCCGCGGGAAACATTTTAAAAATGTTTCTTTCAAAACGTAAGAGGCTAAAAAAAGGTATGGCACTGTTGTAGTAAATGGTGCTGTATATCCTATCATTTTGGAAAATAAACAAATATTTGGTTAGGTTTTTATGATGTTTGTTTCAGTATCCAAATATCAGATACTCTCAAAGTGTTTAACTACTTTCGAATAACAAGAGTCATTCGATTTAACAAGAGTCTAACGAGCTGGGTGGAAACTACATGTCGTTATTCCGAAATTTTTGTTCTGAATCGTTGTGACCGGATGATACATTATCTTACGTTTTTTGTAAGTTAGCAACATCTGATAAAGTAACATACTTTTGTAAAATATTTTAAATGTTTAAGTTCGTTAGATGGTGAACAACGCTTAAGAATATACTTATACTAAGCATATTACAGCATTTGAAATGTATGCAATAATTATTAATTATACGTGCATATATCGTAATTGCATAATAGGCAAATCTTTATTCTGCTTCTTAAATACAAAAGTAGATACCGGGAAACTTCTTTCAGCAACCATTTCCCATAGACCAGTGTTTCTCAACCTTTTTAAAATGGAAAATACTTTTATAAATTAGAAATGTTGTTCGGATAACTTTACTCTTGTCCCATTCGAAAGTGATTTTTAAAACATATGTGCATTCATATTCTACCAGTATACTCATATATACCAGTATGTTTATTTTAAAAATAGAATTAGATACAATTCATTTAACTTCCCAAACCTTTTTAATTTCTTATGGGCACTGATAATAGTCAATGAATTATCCTGTAGACACATTTAGGTCATTTAGTTTCAGGATACATTTGAAAGATATACTAATGTACTTAGCCACGTGTTATCAGTAAAAATTATTTAAAATCTTAATTTCACTTAGAATTAACAGGACATTTTTGAAAAACTAGGAGAACAAAAGCAAGCTTCGTGGACCACAGTTTGAGAAACGCTGCCATAGAATAATTCCTTTAAACGTGAATACTTATTTTGTTAGAAAATAAATATATACGTAATATTTGTAACTCGAAAACTTCTACAGAAGTTTTCAGAAGATTATAATCGTCTGGAAACGTGGATGGTTATTTTAGTGAAATTTCATAGTATTTTTGTAAACTATTATAGATGCATTAAATAAGTATGCGCCTGTTGCAAATACCCTGCATTTCAATTTTGAATTACAATTGTCATATATCAGTCTTTTTGTTAATATACTATATTATAGTACAGCATAAATTTAAGAAATGCATAAGTTTCTTAGAAACTTGCGTCTGTTGAATTATTACCTCATATTTTGTTATGATCTAAAATGTACTTTTTTATACCAAAAAGAAAGTAAACACTGAAATTCTGTACGTGTTTTGAGTACATCTACATTCAAATTATCTACTTTATTTGAGCGCAGAACTATCCATTATATGCATGCTTCCTCCACTTTCCATTGATTTGAATATTTGTAAACTAAAATAAAACATAAATTACTATAACATACAATCATATAACAATATAGTATAATGTTCACACTTTTTTAATAACAATAATTGACAGCACATTTAAGTCGATAGTGTTTAACCTTTTGTCATCCGACTTAACTTCCCCATTAAGTTATATAATTGTTACGTTACATTGCTCGTGTAACTCATCTTCTAGACTTGCTGTAATTATTTTGTCAAACAGCCGAGCGCAAAATTTTTCTTGGCAGTTCACTGCCCTCACAACAGAAGAAAGAAAGCACAAAGGCGATTACGCGCATCTAATAAAATAACACTCGTTCATAATTTGCATAAATTCTCATTTCCCTGCAAAAAAGCGCGTATAAGGATAGAACAATACGAAGCCTAATAATCTAGCGGAATTAAAAATTCAGATAATTTCAAATTACATACTCATTAAAGAATTCAAATTAAACGTTTACCTTACCTTGTATAAATTAGCTTTCTTTAAATGCTCTCGAAGAGTAATTTGCATTGAACACAGTGCTCTTTTCTGTTCTTGCGTTCCCTCCGTTTAATAATAAATAATAATAAGAATAATATTAAAAAATGAAGTTTCTAGGATTTTAAATATAATTTGAGATCTTGAGATCATATCTGCGTATATCGGTCTGTTTAAACTTATGAAGAATAAACATTGCTTTGAAAATAAATAATTTTTTTTAAATAATGCATATATAATTCCAACTAAAGTTTGTTTTCATTAGATTAAATTGAAGCATTTTTGAACTGCTTCAAGTAGAAGAACTTTCTAAAAGAGTAAAATTACCATAAAAGAAATATAGTTATTTCTTGGATTCCTGGGAAAATTATTTTCTAAAACGAATATTGCATTGCTTTCAACACTATGAGTTATTATCTGTTATGTATTTTGTAAACAAGAATGAACTGATTCAGGCGTCAAATTAAAAGATGTCCAAAAAATAAACTGAGTTGTATTGTTAAAGGCAATTTGCTTCTGGGCATGCTGGAAATTTATTAAACATAAACATTCATTAAGATTAGACTAATTTGTTAAGGATTTTTTTAAAAGTGAAATAATTGTGTGCAGCATATGAAACATTCATTTAATTAGTATAACAGAGTTAAAATAACAAAAGAAGTAATTATCATTTTTCTTTCATTTCAGATCGCACCAATGTGTATCGCGAATATTTATACAATCTGGAGAAACTGACTGTCTTTGTGGAGGATAAACCTAGGCTAGAAACCAGCTCCAGTGGTTCTAAGTGTGCCTCTATATCCAGGCTTAATAACGCTCTTTTCCGAAGAACATTGCATTTCGAGTGTCCTAGCCATCTGATAGGCAGATATGTCTACGTAAAAGCTTACGGAGTTCCGCGTTGGAACAGACTGTATTCTGCCATCCTTTGTGAAGTTAGAGTCTATTAAGAATTTTTTATAATCGATTTGATCACGATGTGTTTACAAAGATGAAGATTATTGTTTTTTTCAGCTGCAGTTTTCTTTAAGAAGAACTGTTGAAATTTTAGTCCGCATCATCTTTGTAGGAAGTATAAATATCACATAAATTAAAGAGAAAATTGATATCTCGCAGCTATGAAGAAAAGTAAATTTTAGACTTTAATAAACGGAAACCAAATGGACAACGACTAAGGAATGCCCTTTGGTTACATACCAGTATATTAAGAACTTGCATTTTTCTCATTTGAATGTATTTGCATAACTATGGCAGCAGAAATTCATTTGAGACATATTACTAAATTACATGCTTTTCTGTACACGATTTCGTGTCCGGAACTTATCTACTAATGTATAAAACATATTTCTTTCACGTGAAACTATGTAGCTTCAGAAGTTCAATAGCAGTTTAGAAGCTTTGTGCCCTATGTGCGTCAAGAAGTCATCTCATCAATTCATTCTCCTTGAATAATCAAAGGACTTGTTTTCATTGATACCGGCTCATAAATTAGACTTTTGACCACTTTAAATGATATTCTTCACAAATTCATCGAATATTTTCATCATTAATTTTTTCTTTAAAATTTCATTGTTGTCGTCAGTGTAAAATGAACGTTCTTTTGCTTCACATTTGCTTAACTCGTGAAAACTTCAACTCATCCTTCAGAAGTTTTCTCCCTTATTCAATCAACAAAGCATTCTAAGTTATTCAATCAGCAAAACATTTGGCTTCGTGTTTTTTGTGATTATTCCTGCTACCCAAATAGAACTTGAAACTTTTGTTTTCTAAACTTAAAAATAATATTGATGTAAGAAGCGTCCTAAGTGCTGTCTTTCTAAAATGTTTCGATAAATGCGTTACATTACCAAGAATCATCCTTCACTTACCTTGGCATAGCGCAGAACCTAAGATCTTTAACTTACCATCTACACCTTTGAGGACACCAGTTCTAAAAGTATTGCCATTTTGAAAAACATAACATCTTTAATTTATCTTTCAAATTTGTTGCTTTCGAATGCTTAAAAAACGTATATTCCTTAATTATTTAAACTTTTTTGTTTATGAATAATGCGTACATGTAACTAATATCAGTTTAAGTATATCGAAACACATTATTGTAATTGACAAAAGACGTTTCTAACGCCCTAAAACTACGCATTTAATGTACAATCGTTTGATTTTTCAGAGTAAATGCTTCCATCAATCGAACTGTTTTTACTTCACTAAAATTTTTGATTACGCTGAAATATATTTTATTCGTGTTTCTGCAAATTAAACGTGAAATTTCCTGATATCTTTCCATACTTATAAGTTTCTTGATATCTACCCTAACCTATATGTTTATCACGAATTACCACAATAAATTCATTATTTTCCATTTTAATTTACTTTTGATCTAGAATTATATAATTATATGATCTAGAATATGATCAAATTGGATTATGTTTCCTTAGAGTTTTAAGTTCCTTAGATATTTTTCTATCCATAAAATTATGCATTTTTATTGATTTTTATTTGTCCATAAGAAGCCAATTAATAATTATTGTATTTCCCGAAAATGTCTTAGTTATTATTATTGTCTCTTCTGAAGTCATGAAATCATTTCCTATGTTCTGAAGTCATATAATCATTCCTTAATTATTCGCATCAAAGCATTGGATGAGTCCGCTTAATAGAATAAATGTTTTCACTAATTACATTTTGAAGAAAACTAGCTGGTACTTAATGTGACAGAAATCAATGAAAGCCTCATGTAAATAAACCTTTAAGCAGCTGATTACAGAACTCGGGACGAACTACCATTTTTTTTGCCTGTTTGCCTGGATTACTAATATCAAACATAAATTATGTTATGCATAAATTGCTAAGTCATAGATACTACTTACCATTAAAAAGTAATATTACCTGAAAATTTATGCGCCAAGAACCAGTTAGTTAAATTTGGTACGTTGTTTCTTTTTACATATCATATTGAGTAACAATAACAAATAAAAGATTTTTCCAGACTAAGAATGAACGTCAGTATTCGATTTCTTTTTTAGATTTTCTTTAAATTTCAAGCTTTCAAAAAAATCTACCAGTATTAATCTATGGTATTATAACAATTCCATCTATCTAAAGTTTTTACTTTTATCTTACGAATTATTTTGCTTCATTTTAATCGGCATATTTTGCTCAAATAGAGAGCGCTACACATTTTTCATGTTTAAGAAGTATTGTGCACTTACATTATGAACCAATACCTTTGAGCAGAATAATTTATTCATGAATATGAGAGAACTCTTATTTCTCTCTCGAAATCCTTTTCCACTAAAATCATCGATAAACAATGGCTGTATAATAATATCTATCTAATCTTTTATAACGTAAAAGGTAAAATTTTACTTTATAAAGTAAACATTTTACGTTAGGTAAAAATTCAAGATTTTGAGTAGGAAATTATGATAATAATTTATCGTATCGTTATATCATAAATATTTCATAAATTATTCATTTTTAATGAGAACAAATTCTTTTTTTCATAGTGTAGGAAGTATTTCATTAATTTTAATTATGCAAAATATTCGAGTAGGTTAACATTCCTTCTATGTAAACGCATCCAAGTTTATTCGCATTTACTAAGGTAGATTTTATTCGGACAAAAAGTATAGACAATAAAAACTGTAATTCATATCATAAAGGAAAAATCATAACTGAAGCTTCATTAAGATATTACTGAGACATCTTAAGTGATGAGTGTTAAATAAAATAAAATTAAAAATTCATCAGAACTTTATACCAGAAGTCTTTGAATGTCTTTGGTACCAATATTTGACAGTTTTTGGTAAAAGAAATTGAGGATCCTTCGACTACTAGAGACAATAGGGAGGACCTGTGTCATTTTATGGAACTGAAAGCTCGGATAAAGCGAATGCCCATTTTTATTTTGGATTTAAAATAATTGAAGTAAAATAAATCTCTAATTTTCATAACATAGTACCACATTTTTATCTTAGTTAATTTAGTCTTACACAAAAATAAAAATGCATGTTCATTCTAATGACAACTTGCCATATATAGAAAAAACGATGAAGGATGTTATATATACATATGAAATTTCTTTTTAAAATTTACGTAAAAATTAATTTCAAATGTGAACTCGATAAATTACTAGATCGATATATTTATGTGTTGCATTTAGTGATATACATGGTAATGTGAAAGCACTTAAGCTTCAGAATAAAATGTTAATTGTATTTTGTTGTATTCGTGAAATTAATGCTAGAACAAAAATGCAAATGACCAAATGTTTAGAGCATAATTAGTATTCTATTATTACAGTCGGTAGTCGGTTGAGCTCCCTCTAATTTTCTAGCCCGTCAGAAATCGTTTTAAAATTAAGTTTTTGCATTTATTTAATGTAATTTTATTCTACTGTTGCTGCATCTTAAATATAGTAATTACTTTTAATTCTTCTTTGGATCTCTTTTTTCACATACTTCATTTTTTGGTGTCTCAGATATTTTTTCAGTAGGCTTGAAATCTATATGGATCTACTGTGGACAGTTTAGTAACATCTGTTTTATATTCTTTTTAGCATTGGTTAACATTTTGAGACCTATGGCAAGAAATCTTGTCATTCAGAAATATAAATGGCTTTCAACAAATTTTTGCTCAATAACCGGAAGCAAAAGATAAGCTTTGTTATTTGCAAATAGAGAGCCCAAAATTTTACTAGTCTCTACTTATTAAATGCAACTTAAAATCATAATTCCGAAAGAATGTTTATGAATATAAGATATGGCGCATATATGAAGTATTTCTCAAACTTTACATGAAACGTGATCCAGCATTATCGCCGTAACTGATGCATTATCTACGTTCATCTGGAAAAAATTTCTCTTTCAATTTACTTTTATTTTGATCCTTTTCAAATGTGACTTTGTGTGATTTTGAATAAGGGATGATTTGCAGGATCCGTATTACAGGCAACTTAAGCTCACATTACTTTCTTTTTGAAATAAAGCCTGATTAACTTGCAAAGTGCTTTTAAAATTTTTATCTTCCGCATGTTCACGTCTTCTTGTTAAATTTATTATTCTGAATCTTCCATTTAGTTTATTCAAAATACTAGCACATCATGTTATATCTTTTAATAACTTATATGTAAGTGGCATTTCCATCTGTAAAAGCAGTGAGCAGTAGCCATTCAATGTTTAATAATAAAAAAATTGAAATCCTATATTTTTAAATATAATTTCGCGGCTATTTAACAATGATATGTGGATTTCATTTCCCGAAGTTAGAAAAACATATTATTAAAATTAATTATTGGTGATCCTATATTTTTCATCTTTAAGTTTGTTTTTGTATTCAGAATTATGTAACCATAGCTTTTAAGTGAAATCTTAATTTTAAGTGAATCTTAAGTGAAATCTTATCTTTAAGTGAAATCTACATCTTTTCATTAACAGGTTTTTAAGTGCCATGTTCATAGCTAACAATTAAAAATATCTTAAATTAGCTACCTCATAAACAATAATTAATATTTAAATTTTGTATTTTTGCTAACTGAAAACATGATCTAATATCCACCGCGTCTATGGAGTAATCGAACAAACGGGAATGGAGGAACGTATAAAAATTTAGATTTCGTGCTTTTTCCAAAATTGATATCTTGAAATTTAAAGATGCCGAAACATGTATATTTGTATCAGTTAAAACATTTTTTTTTAGTTCGAAGTGTGTACCTACGACCAACGGTTGCGAAAATTAAAGCTGGGGAAGAATTTTTTAGAGATGGAGTATATTGTTCTATTTGTTTGTATCTTTGATATACGTAACTTATTGCGCAGGTAATATGTCTAATAGTTTCAAAAATAAAAGCATATGTACTTTAGAAACTTAACATAATTTATGTTACAAGTTATTATTACTTTGTACTATCTTAAAATTAACCTTAAGAACTTTTGTTTAATGCTATTGTTCATTTTAACGCCACAATGCTCCGGAATCGCTTCATCAAACTGCCAGCAGATTTAAGTTCTTTCTGCTGTCAATCATGCGGAAGAGTTGCCTGAATGATATTTGGGCCATTTGTAAAGAAATGTGTGAATTTTTCAGCATTCGGGACAAAACTTTTATAAGCTGTAACAAAAATAATATACTGTATAGAGTTTTTTTCCAGTTTATTAGAATTCTGTTGCTTATAATCTGTTTGTTGTTGACTTAACTGTTTAAAAAAAAAGGAATAATTTGCATTATCTGTAATTTCAGCTGTTGTATAGAATTTCAGACAGTATTCGTTTTCGGCCAAAGTTTAAATCAATAAAAATGATCGGTATTATAAACATATTTATCATTTGATGTTTTGTCCTATTTGCTCCCCTCTGATTAAATCCTAGCAAATACTGATAAGTCTTAGCACATATGAAAGACATCAATTTAAAATTCATCTCGCACGGTAGGCAAAAATTTAAGCAATGAATAGTTCTTTAATTCTTAAATCATATTACCTGTCATATAAATAAGAATATGCCTAGAATGTCGGATTCTTTAGCACTTTGGGTGAGAAACAAATCTTTTGAATTTCCTTACCTTTTTGCACTTTATTGGCTGTGTTCTTTACTTGAGACATGGTAGTACTTGGGTAGGAGCATAGTTTTGCGCAATTCCAATGCTGCTGTTAGCATGACATATGAAACCAGCTTAATTCAAAATATTACAGAAATTGAAAAGGATTTGGATAAAAGTGCATTTATATATTTGGAAAATGGATGAAAAGTGTATATTTTGGAAAAGTGTATTTTAAATTAGTCTTAAAGTTCATAAACAAAAAATATCTCTGTAGTCAATATTTGTGGATACTAAAATGAACATTCATGTGAAAAAGATTAAGAGTGGTTTAAAGCCAGTGAAAATTATGTTTCAGAATTTTTTCCTTGTTTATTTTTTAAAATATCATTTTGTTGTAGGAATATGTTATAATCCTATTTAATTTATAAACTTATTATGAAAAAAAAAATCAATTTAAGTTATTCAATGAGTTTTTATAAAATATTGGAAAGTGCAATATTCAGCAAACGCAATTTACTACAATACAGAGTTTTTTTTTATCGGAAATTTAAGAAGGGAAAATTATTAACATGCGATACTATCTTATTGATGTAAATTCTAGTTTATTAAAAAGTATTTATATTGAAATGATTATTCATAGATAGTACAATGGAAAGGAAATGAAGTATTGCTATGCCGCTTTCACTTATGTAAATCCTTAGACAAGCGAAAAATATTTTTGTTTAGTGAGTAGACTAGCCCACAATTAAGTATACTGCATGCATTATTCAACTAGCTAACAAACTATAGCTTAGATCAATCGACTTGTTTTTTAATACACTAAAGTGTCACTGAATTAGAAATAGGAAGTCAATTACGAGTTCGGCCTTCTGGGGATTGAATGGTGCTCACGACGAGGCAGATTCATAATTTGCGGAGTATTTACGAATGGTTTTGCCAAACATCGGATAGAACTGTCCATAACTCAGGAAGGGTCTCTATGTTGATGATTAGTTTCTACGTTATCCAAAATCTGAAGGTGCGTGTAAGTAAGCCAGCGTTTATTCTAGTGGTACTTTGTTTTAAATCATCATAAGAGAAGTAAAGGCTGTCTAAAACCAGCAGTATTAACCGGGACCTGTGAGAGGTTATCTTATTGGAATAGTTATCTTATTGGAATAATCCATTTTCATGTTAATGACAGGACGACATAAATGGATGGAGATGATCTCCCAGCAACTCTGCGTACCGAATCGTGTTGACGGAGGTTTGTACAAATACCAAAGATTCCAAACACTGTTAAGAGAAAACACCCCAGACTATGACTAAACCGACAGGGTCTTGTACAGTTCCAACCTGCAGGACCAATGGCTTCATGAGAATGACGCCATATTTTTAGCCTCCCGTTTGTGTTAGGCAGTCGGAATCAAACATCCTTCTGTACTAGTTAAGTCCTATATAGTCCATTCTGGTGTTCTTGCTTGGAAACATCCGCTCAAGGCATTCATGAAGTAGGTCGTGGTCTACAGACTCAAAGCCCATATGAAGCGAACATTGCATGATCCATTCATTGACTATGCGACTGGCCCTGATTCAGGTGGGTGGTAATTTGAGCTAACGTTTGGCTTCACTGGCTATGTACAATATAGCTGAGCCGTCTCCCACCAGGGTTGGTCAAGGTTAATTATCCCTTGCACTTTACCCGATCGCTAGTTTTTTTCTCCACCATCCGTGTATTCTCGTTATACTCTTGACACTGTCGATCTTAAAAATCGTAACCCTCTGACGATTTCAGAAACTGAATGGCCCATGCGTCGAGCACCTACTATCTGTCCGCGATCGAAGGTGTCTAAATCAGAAGTTTTACCCATACTGGCAATTGAAAAGATTGATTAACAACAGCCATAGTACTAGCTACATAAGCAGTTAGCACAACGCCCTCACGTGAGCATAAAATGCGGCGCAACCTTATAAAATTTGCATAGCCATGGCTATCCCCTATCCCTAATTCAGTGACACTTCAGTGTAGTTTCGGATAGCTCGATAGAAAATAAAATGATAACTAAGCCTTTTTTGATTTCCAAAGAATATGAACGCACAAAACTGCAAAATAAAAGCTTTGCAGGTTGACAAACGTACAATAAATGCAGCTTTCAATTGCACTAACTAGCGACATCATTCACAAGAATTAACAGGGCTAAAATAACAGGGAGGGATTCTTAGATAAAATTTCCCACTGAAATTCAAACATTAAGTGGTGATTCATATTTCTCCTTATTATAGTCTATTATTTTAGAATATGAACTTTAAGACTATTCCTATCCCTCGAATCAAACCTCTTAACCATTGTAATGACTACTGTGGAAAAAAAGATCGAATCCCTCTAATTTGCTAAAATCTGAATATTCCCTTTGTACAGCGATGACGGCACACGTTATGATCGTAAATGAGAGGGAAGGATCGCTACGAACCTGACGCGCCTATTTAAACTTGCAAGATTTCTGCAAGTTTAAAGAAATAGCCCTTAAAAATTTTTAATACGCAAGCGTGTTGGGTAAAAATACAGATAGGTAGGCGTCTGCGAACAAAAGATGTTTTTCACTAAGCTAATCTGCACATATTGGAGAGAATGACGGGTATAAAAAATAAACAGAATCGCAGCGAAGTTCGCTAAAATTTCAACTGTTAATTTAAATTGTTATAAAAGCTGTGATATTTTTCAGATCTAATATTTATTGTGTCATTTTAATAAATCTCTAAAAGTGGAATGATATTATTAGTTTCACAATAAAACTAATTGTTATGTCGTTTTGTTTGAAATGTACCTGAAAGGTAACCTATTAGTTGACCATAACACTTAAAATACTCTTACAACAGTAAAATACTAGTATCAATAAAATCTTTTCATTGCGTTGTGTTTACCGGATTAACCCTTTAATCAATTTGAGAAGTAGACTGGTGAAAATCATGAGCACACAAAGTAAAATAACCATTGACTGATCTAGAAAATGAACCTATTTATTTAATTCTTCTGCAATTACTATATCTATTACTTAGAAAATCAAAATATATTGAAACAGTTCTATAAACTATTGAGTTTTACAATCCATACTCTTACTGAGTAATATTACTTTAACTTTAGCCCTTAAAAATCTAGTATAATTCTTTACAATAAGTAGTAAACATATCGAATAAAAGTTTGAATAAATGAACAATGCCCTCCCCGGGGAGAAAAAGAAATAAATTTAACAAGTTACACTTTCAAAAAAAAAAAAAAAAAAAAAAAACTCCAGACTATTGCACTTAATACCATTAATTAAAAATACATAGCTTCAGTTATTGCACATAATAATTTTCTATTTTTAAAAGTATAGTTTAACCGGATAAAATATTAATCTCATTCATGCTATTACAATCCTACAAGCAAAGTTAATCCCTGAGAGGAGCAAAGAGACTCAAATAATGACACTATTACAAATTAATCCTCACCATGAAGGAAAATCCACAAGTTCAACTAAATAATTTCATGAAGAACTTATTTTCCTTTAACAATTAAACTAAATTACAATAATTTAAATAAGGTTATAATTCCTTAATCAATCTAATACTTTTACTTAATCGGCACACAAAAAATGATTTTTATAGAGTTAGGTTAAATTTATCAACTACAAAAAATTTAAAGTTCAGCAAATTAAAATATTTCAATCCTTTTAACTGCAGAACTCTATTACCTCAGACAATTAAAGCAAACAAACAAACAAACAAACAAACAAACAAAAAAAACTTAGCTTTGACAATCCAGACGGGCAGCTATGGGATGGGTGATAGGAAAACCATCTTGACGCAAATGGACGTCGTATTACTGAATAAGGCGCAATCATCTGTTATTAAGAAGCAGGCGACAGTTCTTGAAAATGGCAATTAACACTATGCAAGATGTATGACCGAACAAGGTGGGTAGGGCAACGGTGACAGCAGGAAACCATCCCTTCAGAAGGTGGACAACACAGCCGATTCAGTTGAATTGAAGCAAACTTCCGCTAAGATGACGCTCCGATGCTCACAGAGACATTTTTGTTAAATTCGAATCTGAAGTGTGTCTTAACACACACTTAAGATGAAAGTTCAATCCTGATGCAACGTAAAGGATGAAAAGTTCCTAGAACTCCGAGGAGCAAGAAATAGATGACACTACATGAGGATCTTCCTTTCTCTCTGGGTACGGTGTCTTAGTTGTTTTCTTCACGACGGTTAGACCCAGGGTTGGAAGTACTTGATGACATATTGAAAAAAATGAGTAGTACGATGGAAAATTTAGCTAGTATCGATGTTTAAGGTATTAAAAAAATTCTGTTATCTCATTCCGTTATTTCACTTGGTAGCTGACGCAGAAAATTTCTCGGGCCGAAGGCCACGAGAATCCGCAACTTGGACAAATAATTAAGTAAGCCTCAGGAAGCAACGGCCTAACAATGGCCCTTCCAAAAATGGTATTCTCTCGAACATGATTCCGAAAAATCAGCTGACGGCTAGTACACCATCAATATGCAAGTGAAAGAGTCCAAAAAGTGACCTCGTTCCTCAAAACAACCCGTTAAAAGGGGACGCGCCGGAATACCAACTTGGCATAGCTCACTCCCCGCCAAAAATTAAACCAGTTGCAACTTCAGCATTCCTTCATGTTAACAATCTCGCCAAAGCCACCACTTTGAAACCCCAACGGAAATTCTAAGCCGCCAAGCCGTCGCCAATCAGCCACGTCTCGCGAAGGGAAGAACTTGGAATTTCAACAACCCTGTAAGCAGTTCCAACGAAGGAACGCTGAAAACTCGAAAAACGACTATTTTACCGGAAAGAGGGCACTTCTTCTCCCAGAGTAGAAATCACAATGACAACGGAAAAAACTATTAATTAAAGCTCATAACTAAAATGCAATTAAAGTTAGGAAAACGAAAGTTATGTCAAATTAAAGAGCTAATTTTTCTGCAACCAATGATATTAAATACTAAGAAATCGACTTAATTTTTATCATGAAAAAATGAGTTTATTACATGAAAATTCCCCTATATCCATTGTCTGAGTGTACAAGATTGAAGACGCTGTTCGCGTAAACTCGAATAGCCGAAATAGATTACACTAGAATTAATAAGCCAAATAAATGAATATATCCAAACTTGTTGTGTAGCTAAAATTTTGAATATTTACAAATTAAAATTTTGATTCTTATGATTCACTTAATTATACTAAATTTGCTACACAACATAATTATGTGATCTAGACTGTTTTTACTGCACGTTTGTAATTTCCGAAACTTTGTATCGATAAAAGAAATAAATTTCAGTCACGTCACGCTCTTTTAAAGACAGTTTTAGGCCGACAAGAGAAATTTCATAAAAAAGTTTTAATTTCGACTACGACACATCGATAACATATTGAATAAGCGAAATTTTGTTATTCATAATTCCGTAATATTTATTGATTACCAGGACTTTTTCATTATAAAAAAA